TTGGTAGGTCCAGTAAGGACCACCTCTGGCAACATCAGGTCATCCATCCTCTGCTTCAATATCATCACCTCTTCATGACATGGCTTCAAGCGCTCGTCCTTGGAATCAGAGGCAACATCCTTGAGGATAGCTTCCAGAAGGCGAACAAGGTTCTCACCCAGGCCCTTGGATGATAGGAGCTTTGCTACACCTCCTGGGCGTGCTGAAGCAACCTGACTTCTAAATTCTTTCTTGAGTTTTCTCATGTCTTGTTGAATCTTCGTTGGCCGAATATGGTGCGGTAAAAACTGATCTTGAATTTCATCGGTGACGAAGAGGGGCTCCCTGTTGTCAAGGTGTACTGCGCAAGCAGCTTCTACCTGCACTAAGCTCGGCAGGGCTGCATAAAAGGCATCTGCGTTCTGAAGGTCATGTGCCAGTCTCCAAAGATGCGCCTTCACATCCTCACCTAACCCTGCGAATCTTTCCTTCAAGTCATGGGGCGTGTCGCCCAATTTCATCCTGCACATGGCCAAGACGAAGCCAGCTTTGAAGAAGGCCTCCAAGAGCAGCTTCAGCATTTCTGTTGAGTCTTGAGGTACATGTGGAAGGCGCTCGACTAGGTCGTGCAACTTCTTCTCCAAATCGTGGACGTTCAATTTCATTCCCTCCAAGTCTGTGGCGTACATGTTGGCCAAAAAGCGGGTGGCGCCTTTCATCTGAATCACAAACTCCTCGGCCAGCGCTGCAGAGAGAACTCCTTTCAAGCGGTCAGCACTCAAGAGCTCTTTCAGCTCATCGGCTGCTTGCCTCACTTGCTCTTGGATCTGTCTTGCGTTTGCCTTCACTGCCTGGACACCAATCGTGAGCATGGCCTTCTGCTGTCGGTTGGTGATGGTGCGGATGATCTCATCGACATCAGGGGCCCCAGTGCGGAGGATGAAATTGCATTTGAGCGACTGGTGGTAGGACTCCATGCTATGGTTTTTCCTGGGCTAAGCAAATACATTCACATTGAAGGAGTTGTTCTGGATGAATCAAAGAAAACATCCTATACGCAAATTACGGAAGGACAAACAGCTTCAAACTTTGATTTACCAGTAAGCATCATTAGATTGGATCCGAAAACCCACATGATGTTCAAGGCGTTGCCTACTTTTGGAATTCTTTGGAGCAATGGCCATGAACCTGCTTGGAAGTCTGTGAGCGGATCTGCAGGTGGATGAATATGTTCACCCCAAGGTGGCAACTTTCCCACATGGTCTCCGGCATGCTGGAAACCAGCCCACCGCAGGTTCTTTCGGTTCCTGAACTTCTCGGCAAACGTGGATGTCCCAACTCGAGGGCAGCCGAAGACAACGACATTCACCTCTGCATCTCGGAAGTCGTTGGCCAACAGCCAACCTCCCAAAGTTGCAAAAGCTCCCCCACGAGAGTGACCCGTCAAGTGGATAATCCTGGACCCTTGACACCATGATTTGAGGCCGTCATGGAACTCCTGCAGTGCATTGGCAAAGCCACGGCAGATCGAATCATTGTTGGGCAAGGCGTGCAAGTTTCCTGTCTTGCCAAGCCAGTGCGCGCTGTCCGCGCCAGATCCGCGGAAGCCCAGCCATACTTCCTGGCCATCTCTCTTGCCGATGATCCTGTCATGTTCATCGACGACCAACTCTTCGTACCCAGGGATATCACCATCTTTGTAGGAAAGACGGGCAAGTTCTGAATATTTCCATAGTAGCGACTCCTCAAAGCTGATATTGGACTTCTGCCCTGGGGAGATGAGCTCCTTCAAGAAGTCCTGCGCCATTGAGCCTGTCCGAAATCAGGCTGAAGGAACCCAAATGGTGTTCCAGGATGTTTGAACCTTTGTAAGACCCCCAAATGTTGTGTCACAAAGCGAGAAGAATGAACAACAAAAGGTGAACGATAGAATGCTCATTGGCTCATTGGTCAACCAAACATCTTCGCACGATCTTGCTGGCCCATGGAAGGCCCAAGGGAGAAGTCATGTTCCATATCTATCCATATCTTCAGAAACAGGGATGTCTGATGGTGTCTGAAAAGCTTCTGTTGCATTGAACCCCAAAATCCAGAATGATACTTCAATATATTTCAATGATCTTCAAGGCTTTGCCCACCTTTGACAGCAAAGCCGCGTGTCTGTCATTCAAGCGCAGCCAGGGCTGCTAAGGGGAGACGTCGGTAAGTGTGCTACCACAGGGCTGATGTTGTGGAAAGTCGTTCAAACACTAACTGCTTGCTGTGTATGAATCAATTTGTCCAGTTTGCACAGGTGCTTCTTGAAGCATCAAATCTTGTCTTGTCAATCTGTGCTTTGCGTGCAGTTGCCCTCTCTATACCCAGCCTATGCCTTGATGCGCAACGGACCACGCAAACGAGCAATGTACAACAGCAGAAGTAAATGCAGCATGACTATGCATGAACCAGGAAGGAACACCTGCTGGTGGAGTTCTTGCTATCTTGATCTGGCAAATCAAACGGATGGTGCTCTTTCCTGCCGATGACCAACACGTGTGACTTTCCACTCTGCACGTCAAAAAGAAGCCGGAATGGCACCGTTCAAGTTTCTTCCAAAGGCGATAGCTCAAAGCAACGCCTGCCAGACCCGCCATGCTCAAGCAAACAATCCATCTATCGCAAGCACTTCATGGCCCCAAGCTGAAATTGCAAAAATTGACAGGAAGCTAACTGCGCCTTGGTCAAGGCTCCAAGTTTCTATCAAGGAAAGGCTCCGTGGGATCATCAGCTTGCAGTTTCCTGGTTTCTGAGACCTTTTCCAAAGTCCCTACACAGCAATTTCCGCACTCCAACTGAGAACCCTCCATAGCCTCAAGCATGCCAAGCAGGATCCCTTTGCTTGGTGGCTCCTGGCGCGTCTGAGCAGCAATTGCCATGGTCAATTTCCTAGCAAAGTCACCCACTGCCAAGCTTTCTGTACTATATAATCTTGCAGCAGCAAGTACAATTCGAAGGAGATTGTTCAAGGAAAATCCCTAGTTGAAAAGAATGGATTCAACTTGATTCAACATTGGATTTTTCAATCTGTGGGTTCCATGGATCACACCACCTGGCTACCAGGATCTACAAGGCACACACACACACACACCTATCCTTTGTATTTGCGAAGAATTCTGTCTGATCCCAAAACCACGTCTCTATGGTGTGACTAGACATTGAGCTTGTACTAAGTCAAAACGGAATGACCCGTTTGACTACGGAGGTCAGCATCTTTGGTTTCCCTTCAGCTTATAACCTTGGCTTGAGAATTGCTTCCGGCTCTAGATTTGAGTACGGTTCGGAAAGATTCGAAAAGGTTCGAAATCATGGACCCACAATTTCTTTGGATTTATATATATTATATTTCATTATGCCAAACAACCCTTGCCATCTTAGCCCGGCCTGGGGGAATCATGTGACCTTGGCAAATGGTCCCTAGCCAGTCTCCCCGGAGCCTCAGGGCTAGCTGCAATGGGCTGGATGCAGGTCACCATCGCCCAAGACAGACCTAAGACGTCGAAGAGTCGAACAACAACAGCTGTGGATTTCTTCATGTCTTGGTCTCTAAATCAAGATCACTTCATCACATCCTCCAAAAGAAAAACGTAGATGACATTGCCACAGTTGACCAATACTCACACCTAGTCTCACTTGTATATGTTTGTTCTCAGGATCTCAGAAACTTCCAAAGAATGCAAGCCCCACATATCAATGACAACAAGCTACTAAAGAAAACATGGTTTATCGAGGAGAATTTGCTCACCTTCATCCATCAAAGTTCATCGATCTTCATCCAACAAAACTGATGCCTGGATTTGCCAATCCCAATCAGCTGGTCACTGATTCGACACCCTTGCATACTCTGGGGCTTCGGACGCCAACTTGAGAAGCAATCTCCTGGAAGGGCAACCGCCAATACACCGTGCTAAAAACGAAATCAAACATTTGGGGTACAAACTGGTCAAAATGATTTTCTAACCATCCAACTTCTGGGAACAGACATTTGAATCACATCCAAATCTGATTGGTGGACTATGAGGACGAATGGTTAACAATGGCGAACTGTTCCCCGGCCAAACTACCTAAGAATCCATCAAGACCTCTCAAACACTCGTGCCATGACGCATGCATCCTAATGTTCACCAACCTAATGTTAAACGAGGCCAATGAATAAACGTATGATTCAGTTGGCATTTTTGGGGGATCAGAATTCGAAGATGGAAGGGCACCCAATGGCAATCCAGGCCCGATCCACTTTCCAGCTACCGAGGCTAGGTTCGACTGAACTGAGTCCCTGGCAGGCCCGTGCCTGGACGATGAGTTTCGAACTTGCGGGGCGGTGGATGAAGATCACCACAGTGGATTTGTCGCTGTCCTGCTCTAAAGAGATCTCGCTCAAATCCCCTGAAAAAATCTGAAAAGGTATGATATTGACAGAGTTGACCGCTAGTCAGCTGTAATATCACTCTTAATCAATGCCTTTCTCATCTCAGTTTTTGAGATTTCAGATATCACCGAGAGCTGTGAAACACCAATTTCATAGATTGGCCTTTGATCTTTGAATATCATTGGCATCCTAGTCCAAAAAATCTGATGCCTATCTCAACCATCACAAATCCAATGAGGATAATCCAAACTTTCTCAAGTGCAGTGGCTCACGCCCAAAAAACGCCTGGGGCTTCGGACGCCCACTTGAGAAGCAATGTCCTGGAAGCCACCAAAGGTTGGGGTGTGCTAACAAAGAGCGATCAAAGAACTGGAGATGGTTCAAGTCATTGGGGTAGCAATCGATCCATAAAATTGGTCAAATTGTTTTTTCCATCAAGCAATTTGAGCATATTTGAGCCATATCCAAATCTGGTTTTGAACCATGGTGAAAAATGAATAGTTAATGATGACGAACTGTACCAAAGTTCAACGATCTTAGAATCCATCAAGACATCTCAAGTACTCATGCCAGGCGTGGGTGGAAAGTCAGACATGTGACGCTAGCACCCATGGATCCAATTCCCATCGTGCCAGCCTCTAAATAGCTACTAGTAGGAATCTCATTCCCATATGCTTCATAGAGTGCTTGCTGGACCTCCGAATGCGCAAACAATGAATTTGCGACCTGCGCAGATGGAAAATATACCAACTCATCAATCCCACTATCAGAATCAACAAAAATTGGGAATATTTTGGATACGTCAAACTTTTCAGTCAATGACAGTTTGGGAGAAAAGGTACCAAGACTGCATCACTGCTGCTGTACCTGATCTGCAAAGGTCTGGCGCCAGACCTTGGAGGGTCATGTTGAGTATTCAATCCCCAAATGGCGGGTCAATAATTTTGAGCCCTGGCCATTCCAAGAAACTGGGAAATTTCACACGGAGTCTTTCCATCCACTTCAGCATGTTTTCCGTTCACAGCATCAACAAACCTCGTCTCACCTGCTCAGTTGCACACATCTGTCGGCATCTTTTGTCATAAGCGGAGCTTTGAACCCAAAGCGTCGGGAAGACGAATTCAGGCAAATCAGGAAAACTCTACTACCGGACTGTAGCACACATGAAAAAATCCGCCGACCCCGGCAGACGCAAGGGGGAGCGCGTGAGGGCAGAAAGGTTGTGAACAACAACAGCAACAACAGCAGCAGCAACAGCAGCAACAGCAGCAACAGCAGCAACAGCAACAACAGCAACAACAGCAACAGCAGCAACAACAGCAAGAAAAACAAAAAAACAATTATCCCGTGAAGTCCTCTTGTGTCTTCAATATCCGCCGACCCCGGCTGCGCAAGGGGGAGCGCGCAAGGGAATAAGAGCTCTACATAGGTGGTGTTTTGCCGTTGCGGATACGTCACTAAGCCATGTGCTCGGCAGGCCCTTTTTTGGGTTCCTTTGCTACCTTTTGGGCACGAAATTAGGTGGTGTTTTGCTGTTGCGCATGTGCCACAAAGCCATGCCCTTTGTGATTGGCGGGTTTGTGGGCCGCAAGATGTGGCAAACATGCGTAACAAGCTGAAAAGTCTCAGTTTTAGTCGGGTTTCAGAAGTGACGTTAGGCCCTTTTTTAGGGTTCCTTTGCTACGTTTTGGGCACGAAAATAACTAGCGTTTTGCTGTTGCGCATGTGCCACAAAGACAGGCCCTTTGTGATTGGCGGGTTTGTTGGCCGCAAGATGTGACAAACATGCGTAACAAGCTGAAAAGTCTCAGTTTTAGTCCGGTTTCAGAAGTCACGTTACGCCCTTTTTAAGATTCCTTTGCTGCGTTTTCGGCACGAAATTAGGTGGTGTCTTGCTGTTGCGCATGCGCCACAAAGCCATGCCCTTTGTGATTGGCGGGTTTGTTGGCCGCAAGATGTGGCAAACATGCGTAACAAGCTGAAAAGTTCAGTTTCAGTCGGATTTCAGAAGTGAGGTTACAGGCCCTTTTTTAGGGTTCCTTTGCTACGTTTTGGGCACGAAAATAGGTGGTGTTTTCCTGTTGCGCATGTGCCACAAAGCCATGCCCTTTGTGATTGGCGGGTTTGTGGGCCGCAAGCTGTGGCAAAGATGCGTAACAAGCTGAAAAGTCTCAGTTTTAGTATGTTTTAGTCGGATTTCAGAAGTGACGTTAGGCCCGTTTTTTAGGGTTCCTTTGCTACGTTTTGGGCACGAAAATAGGTGGTGTTTTGCTGTTGCGCATGTGCCACAAAGCCATGCCCTTTGTGATTGGCGGGTTTGTCTTGGCGATGTTTAGAGGTATCTTGGTATACCCTGCGGGTTTGCAGTGTTGAAAGCGGTTGGTTTTTCAGGAAACACAAGT